GGCCCAGGTGCTGTCGTCAGGAAAAAGCATGTAGGTAGTGCCCCTAATCGGTCTGTTACCAAAACTGTGAAGTGAACAGTTAAGGTATGGCAATCCTCTTATCGGAGTGATAGCTTGCTAAGCGCAGGGAGCATCTGGGTTAACCTGCATAGGTATCCTTTTGTTTATAAAAACCAAAATTCTACGGCTAAGAAAAATAGCCTCATTTTACTGTGAAGCATCCGCAACCACCTACATGCACGAATCAACCTCTGCCCACACACCTGTTAGTAGGCTTACCTAGCCTCTTCGACTATTTCTCCTGTCTTCTTAATTACCCGTTTAGATTTTCAAACACCTTCCCACCGAAGATTACCAACTCTTGCCTAAGGTAGAGTTGGAAATTGTTACTGCTGCTAACTATAAAGGATCTAGTTTATTCCTTTAAACCATTTAGGGACAGTAATCAAAACTCAAGTTTTGTTGGGAGTCATCACCATATTTCTCTTGGGGGTTCTTATTCACACCCCAAACTTGCAATTTTACGCCTGGTCAGAGCACTAGGCCTACATGTTAAGCATTTTTTAAGAGTGTTTGTGCACCCACTTGCAATCAAGACGTGTAACTTTCAAATTGAAGGTAAAAGGCGCTGCAAAGCACTTTAACGCCCACGAAGAGGAATAGAGATGTATTCCAATCCATGTCAAGTTGACATTCAATTTCAAAATGACCTCCTCTACGACGCTGTTGGTAAAATTGTAACGTGGAAGACTTCTCTGAAGACGAAAGAAGACAATACTAAGAAGGATACACATTGTTGAGATAGAGGAGGGTTTATGGGCTGCTGACAAGTCCCGGAAGCCAGGCCGCCCTGCGGATTTACCATGACGGAGCCCTTAAGTGACCCTTTACCAAAGCCGGGAATTAAACTAACAGCTAACGCATTACAATATGTAGCATTTTAGCTTCAAGATGCACTTGGTCCGTTTTGAAGGAGTCTTGTTCGATTTCGAAAATATCACTGAATTCCAATGGCTCTTTTATGCACTATCAAAATCTTCGTCGTGTAAATACTTTGAGTACTGAGTTGTGTTTTAGCTCCCTTAATTCAATCCGTTGTGTGAATGACTAGCAGCATACGCATGTTCAGGAGACACACATTTTTTTGAAGGTGGTTTATCCGACTCCTATGATCAAGAGGGGCAAAAGATCTTTGTCAGGTTCCGATAATTACAGTTTCGTAAATATTGTTGGTTTTCCAGTCGCTGAGCGACAATTCCGAGCTGCATCCAGCACTGCTGAGATCGGTGCCGTAAGCCTGACTTGCCGTCTGCGTAAAAGCAGAGAGTGGATACTGGGCTAAAAATGATGATAATGATGATTTAAAGAGGGGATTTAATATCCCGTTTACCTTTTTTTAAAAAAGTGTGCAATCTAACAATTTTACATTGGTTTAAATTTCCTTATAAATTATCGTTAATGATAGTGAAATTGAAACAAAAGCCTCCGTAAAATTATCACATTATTCACTTTGGTAATTTGAATAATGAGCCGCCCAAATCCCGGGTCCAAAAAAAGCAAATCAGCAGTTTGATGTCGTAGATTATATTTAAAAAATTGTAAACAAGTAGTGGTTTCAATAGTCAGGATCACAGTATCAAGAGGACGTCTCATTGCATGTAGGGAGCATACTTGAGTGTAGTTAAAAATATTCGTTCATCTTCCAGAAATTCGTTATCCTAAAGTAGGGAAAAGAAGCCTCTTTGCGTGAAACGGCAGATGAGCTTGTGTTAAACTGAGGGTGAGTTGAATGTTCTTTCACGTCAAAGAGCAAGTAGCTAAGTGATCAAAATACTGAAAAAAACTGCAGGCTGTCAAAAAGCCTAACCAAAACCTGACACAAATGTGATTTGCCCGATTTGGAAGGGAAACCCCAACCTTTGCAAGCTCCTGCCTCAGCTCTTCCAGCAACCGAGATCGCGTTTGATGGTTGGAAATGTCTTCAATCAGCCTCACTGCCTCGGGTTTTGAAATAAATGCGTCGCGGCAGAGATTATCTGGGCTTGGAGCTTGACATAAATAGTGGAAGCCATTCGTAAGGATTTAATTATGCATAGATTTAATCAAGCAGGTTTCTGTTACACGATGTCCAAAACTGAGAAGCTAACCCATGAATTTTACTACCCTTTGATTATTTGACTGCATTACAAAATAGCGAAAGAAAAAATTACAATATTGACGTACTTTCCACCCACCTGGCCTCCACATCACGGTCCGGCTGATGCCGTTTTGGGCTGGAGTCGTGACCGCCACGCGACACCTTTTTCACCACCTGCTTGCATCGAGAACAGATCAGTTTCTTCTCCGCTTTCGCCTTCCTTGCATACTCAGCCTCCCGTCGGGCCAAATCCTCTTCCTCCTAAGGCAGAAGGAAGACCAAGCAAAGCATAGCGTCCTCTTTAAAGAAATTTTTCTTGCAATCCCTTTGAATGGTCCTTAAGTATCACTTTCAAAGGACTCACTTTCTCCACTGTTATTGTAGATCTTTTCTATCATAACATGCCTCATAATTATAACTAGAACATGATATTTTAGTTTAGGGAGTGGTGCAAAACCAATACAAAGCATGTAAAAAGGAACGTCTACTAATCTGTGTCTTTAAATTTAGTTCCTTTCGATAAATAAAGAAGGATAGCAGTGTTGTGAGAAATTGTAACATGTTTTTGCAAAGAAGATTGTCACACCTGCACATGTGCAGCTACTCGTTACACTCGGCTTTCGATCTCTGAAGTAGATGAATGATAAACATTACTGACCTCCTTCTGCCAAAAAACGCCTACTTTTTTGTTGAATCATATCCAAAACCGTTGGTCACTATCAAATTAATTATAAAATGCTTACTTTCGCAAGTCTTTTCTCCATATCTTCGAGTTCCTGTCTGCGGCTCTGTAGCTCGGTCTGGGTCCGAGTTTGCTCCTCCATTAGTCGACGACACTTGGCGTCGACTTCGGCCACAGCTGCCTGCGTTCCACTCAGTGCGCCGGCACGATTCGTCAGCTCCTCCTGTCGTCTGTCCAGTTCGGCCTCACGCTCGTTCAGACAAGTCTCCTTGCCCTGTAGATTGCTCCTACGCGAGTAAAAGGAATGAGTTGAGTGAAGTAGATTTCATAAATCACCTGAATAGCTAAAGTTTACCTATGAAAAGAATGCTGAAAATTCAGTACAGAGGAACCAAATCCTATCATAAACGTAAAATCCACGGAAGTATGCAGAAATTAACATCAAGAACCTTATACTGTCACCAATCTTGAAGAGACACCAACTCAAATACAGTGTCAATTAGCTGCAGATTCCTTTAAAAACTACATTAAAAAGCTGTGAAAATTATCAGCCATTTGAATATTTAACTTCGTTACATCTTAAATCGTAATGCTCACATCATGGAAAACTAGGTATGAGGTAAAATTACCTAACAATATCCAGATGATGCTGCGTTTCAGTGAGTTTTACTTCGTTAAGCTTTAGCTGATGTATTCTTTCATCGAGAGCATGTCTTTCCACCTGAAGGGATTCCTTGGTTCTCTCCATCTCTCCTTTCAACTGGAAAGAGGAACAATATCAAATTTCTATGCTTTTCATTGATTGAGATCTTTTTAACAATACAAAAGCAAAAACAGTGCCCTATGCAAGGTGCATAGCATTTTATCGCAAGAAAGTGCGATAATACCTCGGAAGAATTCGAAGATGTTATTTAGAACTAGTGTCCAAGAGGCTGCTTGGCTCACCGAAGTCAACTTCTTCTCTTCCTCTTCCTGCTGTCGACGCCAACAAACCTGATCAACGCGAAGCTTCTGCTGCTCCTCTGTTATGGAATTTCGTTCTGCAGCCAGACGTGACTGTGTTTCTCTGTGCTCATCGAAAAAATTTGTCTGAGAAAGAAAAAAAGGGGTTATATTCAAGGAAAGCAGTGTCCAATTGCATGAGGAGGTTAATCGTGGATTTTAAGGCCCACAATTATTAAAGAGGTAATCTTACTATGAGCTGTTGGAGTTCAATCCGTTCCCTTCCTGCCTGTTCAATGAGAGCACGTCGATCTTCCTCCAATGTGGCTTGAATTTTAGTCAGACGCGCCTGTTCCTGTTTTAGTGTCCACCTATCCTAAGAAGCCGGAGGGAGAAAGGGGGTAAAAACTACATTCTCTTAACTTACATCCTCCAATAATTTACTCTGCTCTCTCAACTGTACTTCCAATTTTCCCACTGCCTCGGTCAGCAGCTTATGAGTCCTGTCGGACTCCCTTTCCTGAAGGACATTCAAATGTTTAAGAATGGATGCTACTGACACTTAGTCAGCATAAATGGTATGTTACCATTACCCTGTCACACAGTCGTTCTTCAGCAAGTCGGATAATTTCCTCACGTCTTTCCAACTTAACGAGACGTTGAGCTATCGCGGTTTGATGTTCAACTTCCGCTTGCTTCACCTCATTTGTGGCTGAGAGAAGCTGGCCGAGGAGGACCTGCAAGGCCTCCGCAGTTGGCTGCATTTCTGTGAGAACTCGCGCCTCGGTGGCGTCTGCTTCTCGCAGACTCGCCAGTGCCTTAGCGTGCCGCTCTGTCAGGGCCTCCAATTCTAAGCTGCATCGTGGTGAATAATGCAGAAAATAAAAGCAGGAATTCGGGAGAAGCGAACGCTTTTCGTTTAAAGCAAATTAGAAGAGACCAGAATGCCTACGTGTGCTCGTTGCGAAGCGTAGCGACCGTCTTTAGGGCGTCATCCCTGGCTGCCGCCATAGTGGAGGCGAGTTCGGCACGGGCCGTTTCTTGGAAGCTTTCCAGTTGACCGATCCGCAACTTGCACTGCGACACGGTGAAGTCCAGCTCCTCCTGCAAACTGAGAGTGAAGAGGAGAAATATGCATAATGAGAAGCAGAAAATTACGATAAACCAGCATTCTAGACTACCTCATCATGAAAACAATCATCTTTTGCTGTTTGTTTTACAGGCATCGAGTTTACACAAATATCTACAACTAATTTACCTCGCTGTCACCGCTAAGACTTAAAATAGTAGCGATGAAAGCCCAACATTACTGAGGTTGACAACATTTATGCAATTTCCTGATCATTTTTGACAAAAAATGATGAAACAGGTAGTCGTTAAGTTTTTCAAGAAGTTCTTTAGCGATACCTTTATGGTCACAACTAATTGAGTGCTTGTTCTTGCTTCCACTTGAGTGTTTGATGGTAGTGTTTTGAGTCAACAACTCAAGGCTTTCAAGGCACGGTTCCAAAAGGTGCAAAAGACTATAAGATCATCGAGGTACCGTTAAACAAAACACCAAAAGCCTATCTATACTCTATTTTATTCAAAAGCTTGACGATGTTTTTTGCTTAAAGCAATGTTGGTGAATACCACAATGACACTAGTATACTTATCGTCGTATTATCAAGCGATATAATTAGCTGTAAGGCAATGAGTATCACAGTAGTTTGATAAAATATTATCTTTGCATATCATTTTTGGCCAGCTCGGGTTATAGATTTGTTTTCCTTTAGTCGCCAAATCATCAGGAAGGTGTGAATCAAAAGGAGAATTTGAATAATGCTGAGGAGTGCATTTAACAACTTTAGTAAATGTTATTCATTTCATTAAATAAAATGTGCTTACTGTTTCTCCCTCCGAAGTGAATTCTCCTCCAGCAATTTGATTTTGGACCTTGGAAGCAAAGTCAACAAAGTGACATAAAGGCAGTAGCAATGCTCCACCTACCTCTCCTGTTGTCATGGCAATTCCACTCAGTCAACCAATTGAAAAAGCATGTGTATCCATTATCTTGCCCCACATGTAGTCATGTGAGCAAGATAATAATCAGCAGTCGTAAATGAAGATAAGTAGTCTTCTTCTAAGAAAACCTTATTTCCCATGCTTTATTATCTAAAAAGCCTCATTTGGTTTGTGAAAAGAACAAGTATACTTTTGACCTTTCATGTCGACTATGATAATGAATACGATGGTAGGGCGAGAGAACAGAATCATCATATGTCTAGAAGCAGGCTTACGATTGCGACTGCTCAAGCAACTTAATTTCTTCCCGATGATAGTCCTTTGTCATTTTAAGAAGTCCACGCAAAGCCTCAATTTCAGCCTGTAGTTGCCTTATCTTCGGTGCAGCCTCTGATCCGTCCACCACGGCATCGTTAATCTGGGACCACAAACAGAACGTAATCGTACTCTGCGTATGTAGCATAGTAACACTTGTTTTACTTATGCATGTTTCGTTGATTCCTCAGTCAGCTATGAGCCGGTAGTGTAGAGCTCAGCCTCTTGTGCTTTAAGTTCTCCCGTACTTTTCTGCTAAGAATAATTTCGTGCAGCAGTCGGATAGATTGGATAACTACACACAAAAATTATTCCGTTTTTTTGTCCTCGAACACCACAATTGTATTCTGTGGTTAATTGCTGTTCTTTTTTTAACCGGAATATCTCACTACTCACATTTTATACTGCCTTACATCCGTTATAATTTTACCCAAACTTTCGATGTAAGCTGCTCATTGCAACAAGTATGCCTATTTTTCCATTACCTATACCACCTTTCCTGTAGGCATTTTCTGGCCAGTAGCCTAAATATGCAACTCCTACTGATGGTTCTATGATCTATTCTATTTGCTTTCCTTCGTTTTTTTTCGAATTTAGCGAATGCGCCCTTTGAACTGTTAAAAAAGTAGAACACGCTATTTACGGGTCCAGCACACTCAAGCTCAACTGGCTTAGTTTACCCTCCCTTTTTACTTACTCACTGCCAATTTGAGGTGTTAGGCTCCGTATATTTTGGGTGGTTACGTTAATTACATTTGAATAAATGCAAACCAAACCTAACAGCTAAACTTTACAAAATTTACTACACTACCTTAGTTGAAGTACCATGGTACCACGTAAATAGGAAAGCGAGAAAAAAATTAATGTGAGATCATAGCAAAAGATGGCATCAAGACTTGTCGGATGGATGAAGCTTATCACTTGGCCAAAAATCCTAAAGGCAGGGCATTTATCTGCCAAATGGGTTGTGAATGGATGAATAAAGGCGGTGAAGAAAAGTGCAATGCACACACACATGTAACACCTCTCCCTATACCACTTCTCAGTCAAATTTCCAAATCCTTTACACATTAGTGACTAAATTGCAGGTGCTACCAACCATTATGGCTTGGGAGGCCGTTTTTTCAGAGATAGAAATGATGATGCGCCTGTCCTTGCAATTACTTGAGCTCATCTTGATTGTTGCTATAGTACATAACATGTTTTTATTTTCAGCCATAAAATTACCCAATTTTTATTCCTTCAATTCAAACTAATGCTATATTGACTACCTATATCATTCCACACCGTTCTTTTGTATACACGGATAAAGGTATGTCGGAAGTAAACAACATAGGAAGAACACTAATGTGGTGCAGCAGTCTTTAGTCATTATTGTCCATGAAAATCTTCCTATTTCTGAGAATTGTCACATTCGACCATATGCGTTGAGCCAGCTCCAGGCACTTGGGTGGTTCGTGAAATACAGGTGAATCGCACCTCTCGAATGCCAATAACAATGGGGAGGCGCCTCTGCATCCAATAGACGAACGACGAAATGACCGACTAACAAAACGGCACCCAAATACAACTGGTGAATCACCGCCCAAGATTCATGACTTTAAACAACCGCATTCATGCTTTTCCAAAAAATATAGTCTTTAGTCGAAACCATATATTTACGTCTAATCCTGTGCTATTTCCATGTAAAATTCAATCAGAAAATGCAGATAGCATTCAAGCTATCGTAGAAAACACTAGATGATTGATAGTGTTTTGTGGCAATTACACATTGCCTCATTACTGAATGGAGAGATGCCTTCCAGAAACGCCACATGATGCTTCCATACATACTCAGATACACCAGCACCACTGTCGTTGGAACAGACCAGTGGCACTGATGGCCCATTGGAGAATAAAAAGTTACTTGCACAAATTTGGGCTTAGAATAGGACAAACTCTTGGGCACATGCCACCAAATCATTTGCGCACAAAAGCGGTTCCAGTATTTGTATTTATCCATCAAGTGGTATGCATTTATATACCGATTTTAAGCTGGTAGCCACCTGACCGCAAATGCTACTTTGCAGATTGCAAGTAA